AGTCTCGATTTAGCGTTCTGCTTGGACAACAAATACTTCAAAACAGAGTGATCAGTGCAGACTACAATAGGTGAACTAATGATGTATGACTTAAATTTATCTAATGCAAACACTACAGCTAGCAACTTTTTTTTTAGTGGTGGTGCAATTCGTTTGTGCTTTATTTAGAGTTTTTCTAGCATAGTATATCACATACGGCCTTTTATCTTCCTTTTGACAAAGCACAGCACCGACCGCGTAATCACTCGCATCGCACATGAGCTCAAATGGGAGTTCCCACTTGGGTGGTCGCATGATTAGAGGTGAGGTAAGCATACATTTAAGTTTTTTGAAAGATGCCTCACAACCATCAGACCACATATATGGGACATCCTTTGCAAAAAAAATTTTCAATGGTTTTTCAAATGCACTAAAATTCTTGATGAAACGGCGATAAAAACTTGCATGGCCAAGAAACGACCTGATGTCCTTGACTACCCTTGGAATGGGTAGGTTTGAAATTGCTTCCAATTTGGACTTATCCACTTCGATTCCCTTTACAGACACAATGTATCCAAGCACAATCTCTTGTATTCCCATGATGTGGCATTTCTCCTAGTTAAGCCCAAATTTTTCTCTTCCCATCTTTCAAATACTTTCTCCAAATTCCCCAAACATCCTTCAAATGTGTCCCCAAATACTGAAAAGTCATCCATGAAAATTGACAAGCCCATATCTAATTGGGCCAGACCTAGTAAATCAAGCAAGCCTAGATCCGCTAGAAAGACATGCCAAGTCCGGTTTATCAATCCAACCCAGTCCAATACCCAAGGAGCCTAGGAAAATAAGAGCATGTGGGAGAGAGATCATTGGGATACCCACTCTCGAAGATCAAGGCTATCATGGTTGTACTTACCTTTTGTAACTATCCTCTTCGAAGAATTAGTACCCTCACACTCATGTCACCACCTCACCTTACTGCCTCACCATACTTATAAATTGTAAGCTCTCTTCAGTGAGAGAGCATCTCACCACAAGTCTACACACGCATAGCTTCTTTCTCCTAGCTATTGTATCTCTCCCAGAGCTAATTATTGCTCTCTCCCTCGTTCATCCTACTTCATCAATAAAGACCCCCTGGCCACCGTTGCCATTTCCTACAGTGGAGTAGCTCACTTGGACCAAACCATTATATATCTTTTTGTTGAATCAAAATTTACATTACTGTCATTGATTGCTTTATTTACTGTTTATTAATTATACCCTGTCACACACTTGACCATTGATCTTGCACAAGATAGTTTTGTGCATCATCAGTTTGGCGCCGTTTGTGGGAAACAACTAAGTTTTCTACTACCTTGCTACTCTCTTTTAAAATCCATGGAAATCACGACCAAGTCGATGATTCAACTACTAGAAGACAACAACCCAGCCCCGCCTCCCCTCGCACCCTCGGAACCATCCACTACGACGACTCATGTGGTTAGGCAATAGCTTTTACAGACCATACAGCTTCTAGTAAAACAAAACTGACAAATTATTTAGTTAATGCTTACCTCAGGAGGTGTCGCCCCTAAGGCTGTAGGAGGAGCACCACTCCTTCCAACGAAACAAACACAACAACCTTTCCACTCCGGGTGCCAACCTGCCCCCCACTATGGAGCCTTGCGACAGAACACCCTAAGGCAACGCCGAGGCACCCCTCACCTTAGAGTCTGTCCTCAGTGCGCAGGAAGCTCACATGTTCCCCCTCCTCGTGTACCTGCGCATGAGGACAAGGGAGAAAGCCCATATACCGATGATGAAAGCCATTACAACGACCTCGTAGAGGATGTCTCCAACCAACGGGACGAGAAGATCAGAGAGGTGCAAAACCAACTCGGTGATGCCCTTAACGCCATAAGCACAAGCGCCCGAGACAGTGGATTACTTTCTAAGGAGCACTAATACCCCGTTCGTTGCAGATATTTTCAATTACCTCTTACCCTCAAAGTTCAAGATGTTTGCCATCAAGATCTTCGACGGCACCAAAGACCTTCTAGATCAGCTTGACACGTATAAGTCTCTCATGCAACTCCATAACGTGCTTGATGAGATTATGTGTAGAGCCTTTCCCACCACCTTGAAGTGGTCTGCTTGACAATTATTTGGGAAGATCAAACCCTCTTCTATACATTCTTTTGTAGAGTTAAGCAAGTCTTTCGTCTCCCACTTCATTGGGGGATGCCGACACCAAAAGCCAGTTACCTACTTGCTTACCATCAAGTAGGATCAGGATGAAAGCCTGAGGAGATATCTCACTCATTTTAATGAGAAAGCTGTCTAGATCGAGCAGCCATACGACAAGGTGACCATGGCCTCCTTTATTGCAGGTCTACGTCTCTCTAGTTTCATGTTCTCTGTTCTAAAAAAGCCACTATCTAATATGTCTGAGTTGCTGTCAAGGGCACATAAGTACATGAATGTCAAGGATGACACCAAGGCTAGATGAGGTGAGTCCTCCCACGAGGGCGAGAAGAGAAAGAACATTCATGAGGACAACCGAGAAGCATAAAACAAAAGGAATAGGGTAGAGAGAATCTCTGTTAAGGACTGTCATGGTCTTCTACCTCTAAGAGAATGACAAGCCTTCACACTGCTCAATGCTTTCTTGGAGCATATCCAATTCTAAATATAGGATGATCCTACAGTACGCTAGCCAAAGAAGATGAAAACTGCCCCAAACCGTAGGAGCTCGAACAAGTACCGTTGTTTCGACCGCGACCACGGCCGTGATATTGACGATTACTTTAATCTTAAAAGGCATATCGAGAACTCATACAGTATGACCAGTTAAGGCAGTACATTGCTGGCAGAGGATAAGCCCCGCCACCTGGCCAGGACCAGGATCACAGAGAACGCCAACAACCCCTCGGAGAAATCTAGACAATCTCCTAAGGGCTAGGAGGATGAGGCGAATCCAACTCTGCCAGGAAATTCTTGGTTTACCTATAGGACACTAAACACCAGAAGAGCTATTATCAATAATGGGTACAAGCTAGTGGCTCTCATTTTATCTGTCATTTATTGTTTTAGTTAATTTATTTCGTTATTTATTATTTTATGAAATAAAACTCTACGAAGATTATTATGTCTAGAACTGTCTTGCTTTCACATTCATAAAGTTTGAAGATAGCTTATAAAGGTCAGAGCATGACCTAACAACAAGGTGGACAAAAAGACAAAAATTTGCAATACTCCCGACGATCAGTCAGAGTTCCCGAGCTACTATCATCAGGCTCTCCCCGTCACCATCTATCCCCAGTGCCTCATATAGGACAAAGTCAGAGAAATCAATAGCAAGAAAATCTATCAAGCTCTTCATAACCATTAATAAAGACGCATGCAATGGCCCTCTCAACAACCTCCCTCCTCATCTCCATCGCAATGGAATGAGTCATTGCCACGGCAGTAATCTCCTAAGCTATACGTAACTTGGCCTCCAACATTGCGACCCTTTCACGGGATGTCCGCAGCTCAAACTCTACTCTCGTGCAAGTAGTCTCCTTATAAGCCTCTACCATGACACTCATCTTTCAAGATATACGTAGCTCGGCCTCCAACATTGTGGCCCTCTTACGAGACGTCCGAAGCTCTAACTTTACTCTCACGTAGGTAGTCTCCATATAAGCCTCTGCCACGACAGTCATCTTACGAGCTATACGTAGCTCGGGCTCCAACATTGTGCCCCACTCATGGAGCATCCACACCTGTAACTCTGCTCATGCACAGGCAGTCTCCTTATAAGCCTTTGCCATGAAAGCCCTCTCTTAAGCTATACGTAGCTCGGCCTCAGCTCCTGCGACCCTCTCACGAGATGTTCGTAACCCTGACTCTGCGCTCATACAAATAGTCTCTTTATCAGTCTCAAGCTTCCTGGCTCTCTCGTGGGATGCTGAAGAGCTCGGTCTCAAGAGGGGCGATTCTCTCATGAGTAAGCCCCAACTGCTCCTCAGTAGTCTCTTGAAGCCCGCCTCTCTTTCACTAGATCCCTAGATGCCTGTCCAAGTTTGATAGTTGTTGAAAAGAGGCAGGGAAAAACGGCAATCACCTACAAGAATACAAAAAGTAAAACATAAAGAAATGGAGGCTAGAACCAAATCAGAGTTGATAATGCCCTCTGGACCTTGAGATCTAACCTCTCCGATATCCCCGGGAGTCATAGACCTCCAAAGCTACTCCTTGGCCAAAGTCACATCGAAACATGAACACCGAGCCAATACTAGAGTAGGGTAGCTATGTGGAGCTACAATCCCCGTAGAAGACTGCTCTAGAGTCTCAACTCCTACAGTGGTACAAGGGCTAGCTCTAGTACACGCAGAAGTCCTACACTATGAAGGAGTGGGGCACCACTGAATCCTGCTCCGGGGAAGCAACCTAGCCATCAAATCTCATTTGAAAAGCACTGGGGGCATCAAACATTGCCCTCTTGAGAAGAGGGGAAGACGCTACCCTAGAAAGCATAGAGAACCTCCACCTCCATTGTCGCTCTAGTAATGGGAGTGCTTGTAATCAAAGGCAAGGTTAGTAACTATCACAGTCGAAAGATGTCATAGTCTCACTCTTTGGCAAAACCCAAAACGCCAATCTGTCGCCCATGAATACCTTACAGTAGCCTACCAGAATGTAGCTTCCCACCACTATTGGTTTCACTAATTTGTGTTTAAAACTCAACTTCAAAGAGATATAAGCATTGTTTTAGAGAAGTTTGTTGCCCAAACCAACCTTCGAAAGTTTTATGTTGTAGATCTCAAAAAAATACCCAAATTCAAAAAAAATTGCCTTAAATGGACAATCGAGCGCAAAGTTATGGCCGTTCAAAGTTTTGCTAGTTTTTTTTATGATTTTTTGACACTCCGACCGACTCCCTAGTGAGCTCCCTTCTCCTAGCTTTGTCTAGGGCCTCCCTGATGTCACCCAAATCATATAGCATCTTTGGCGTCACCTCCTGTTTTGAGGCTGCATACAACTGACACCCAGTGTCAGACAGCATCTAAGTAGTCAGCGCCCAGTGCAAAACTACCTAGCGTCGCCCAGGCCAACCAGCTCCAGCGCCTAGACTGTCTGGCACCCAACACCAACCTGCTTACGTCGCCACTGTCAGCTATGACGTTGCCTGAAAAGCCAGCTATGGTGTTGCCTACACAGCCTAGGGCATCGTTTGCATTCGCAAGGTGCCCAATGGGACAATCCTCGTAGGCGTCACAATTCAACCCATACCCATTATCACTACCCTCTCTTCCCACACTCTTAGTGCTACTTCCTCTCTCTCCTACAATGGCACGGATGACCACGCTTAAGGCTCCATCAGGATCAACCTCATTTGCGCTGGCATCGCCCACCACTTGAGCTGATGCACCGTTGGCCATTAAAGATGCCCTAGCATAGAGCTTCATTATGACAGGGCCCCTGCTCACCGTTCCTCCACATTCGATGCCTGGAGGGCTACTAACTTGTTCATTGATCTACCTAGGGTAAAGGAGCTCCATGGCGCTACCCTTGGGAATCACCATGGATTTCCCTGGCTTTGAGGCCATCCTCCTCACCTAGCTTTCCCTTCTCAAAGAGTGAAAAAAGAGGTTTCAAGGTCCTCTGAATCCTGGGCACAGGGAAGGTATTTTAAGAAGGATTTAAATTCCTAAAAGATTGAAGCCTTCTTCCCCAAATCCCTCACATTCAATGGAAGTTTACAGATTTAAAGGGAAACATGGGAAAATGGGGCTTTAAAGATTTTTAAGCCCTAGGTACAAGAAAATATCCAAGAAAGGTCCCTAAGTTTCTAAAACATGAAGCCTAGGTGAATGGAAATCTTCTACGAAAATTCAACATAGAGAGCAATCACAATGGTGGAACAAAATGGGAAAAATATTTTTATAGACAACAATGGGAAGCCGAGGAAGCTATACCATGGAGAACAAGAAACAAAAGCTCACTCATGCCCTCAAAATTTTTGACACAACAAGAATTTGGGGCATGTGGGGCAAATGAAGAGCCCAGATCTAATTGGGCCAGACCTAGTAAATCAAGCAAGCCCAGATCCGCTAGAAAGACAGGCTAAGTCCAGTTCATCAATCCAATCTAGTCCAATACCCAAAGAGCCTAGGAAGATAAGAGCAAGTAGGAAAGAGATCATCGGGATACCCACTCTCGAAGATCAAGTCTATCATGATTGTACTTACCTTTCGTAACTATCCTCTCCGAAGAATTAGTACCCTCACACTCATGTCACCACTTCACCTCACTGCCTCACCGTACTTATAAATTGTAAGCTCTCTTCATTGAGAGGGCATCTCACCACACCTCTCTACAACTCTTTACACACACCTAGCTCCTCTCTCCTAGCTATTGTATCTCACCCGAAGTTAACTATTGATCTCTCTCCCGTTCATCCTACTTCATCAATAAAGACCCCCCCGACCACTGTTGTCGTTTTCTAGAGTGGAGTAGGTCATTCAGACCAATTCACTATATATCTTTGTGTTGACTCAATATTTACATTACTGCCATTGATTATTTTATTTATTGTCTATTAATTACACCCTGTCACACACTCGACTACTGATCTTGCACGAGACAATTTTGTGCATCATCAAAAATCTCCACAATCTTTTCCACCATGTCACTGAATATCCCCATTATACATCTTTAACCAATTATCGGAGCATTGCACAACCCAAATGACATTCAGTGATACACATATGTTCCAAAAGGGATGAGAATGTAGTCTTCTCTTGGTCTTTCATGGCCATCTCTATTTGATTGTACCAAGAGCAACCATCCAAGACGCAATAAAAAAGATGTCTGACTACCCTTTCTAGGACTTGATCAAGGAATGGTAGGGGAAAATGATCCTTTTGAGTGCATAAGTTAAGCTTCTGGTAGTCGGTGCAAACTTTCCAACCAGTGACCACCCTTGTTAGAATCAACTCAGTCTCCCCATTCACCACCACCGTCACCCTAGACTTCTTGGTTTCCACTTGAGTTTGATTGAACCATTTACTATCGACAATTGCAAAGATAATACCCACATCAAGTAGCTTGAGCACTTCATCTCCAACCACGTCCTTCATGATGGGATGGAGCCTTCTTTATGGTTGTCAGGATGGCTTGGTGTCTTCTTCGAGGTAGAATTTATGAGTGCAAATGAGAGGGCTAATTCCCTTGATGTCAGCTATGATTCAACCAATGGCTCCTTTATGTTTTCTAAAGAATCGCAACAATTCCTCCTTTTGTTTTGGCTCCAATGACGAGCTTATCACCACTGGAAATGTTTGATGCTCCCCCAAGAATGCATATTTCAATGTGGACAGCAACGGCTTCAACTTCAAAGGGGGTGGTTGCATTGTTGTTGAAAAAATCTTCTTTTCTTGTGGCGGTAGTTTTTCAAATGTTGGGATCCAAGTTCCTACCCCTTGTACACTCTCTGGCTCCACATCATCAAAAACATCCTCCTCCTCCAACTTGGTATTTCATAGAAATAACATGTGATGATCTACCAAAGTGTCAACCCTATTGATTTCATGAACCTCCTCGTTGTCCCCCGATTGCTTGCAAAGTTTGAATACATTGAGATTCATTGTCATGTTTTCAAATGTAAGCTTTATTAGACCATTTCTACAATTTATCATAGCAATAGAAGTAACAAGGAAAGGTCTACCTGATATGATAGGAATCTATGAATTAGGATTAGCAACAGGGTGAGTATCAAGCACAATAAAATCAATAGGGAAATAAAATTTGTCCACTTGGACCAAAACATCCTCAATTACTCCCCTTGGTGTACTCATGCTTCGATCCGCTAGTTGAAAAATGATAGAGGTTGGCTTCAACTCCTCAAGCTGTAGTTGTTGATACACCAAGAAGGGTAGGAGGTTGACACATGCTCCCAACTCTAGTAATGACTACTTCACATGAAAATTCCCAATGATTATGACAATGGTAGGGCAGCCAAAATCCGTGAATTTGGGTGGTGTGTTTGTCTTCAAGATGGAACTCACTTGATCAGTGATGAATGCCTTCTTGTGCGAATTCAACTTCCTCTTCACAGTACACAAATCTTTCAATATTTTTGCACAATAAGGGATTTGGTTGATTGCGTCAAGGAGAGAAATGTTGATCTTTACCTTCTTGAACATTTCAAGGATATCATAATAGTTAGCAATTCGAGCAGATGACTTCAAACATTGGGGAAAATGGGCTGGGATAGGACAATCAAGCACACTCAAATCGACAATCTTTGCCTTCTCAAGTGTGTCACCCACGACATTGTTCATAGTGGCCTTCGTTGAGACTTTAGGTAAAATGGTTTTATCTATTTTCTTCCCACTGCTAAGGGTGGTGACAGCCTTGAGTCGTTCACAACTCTTTTTGGTAATGTCGGACGACTCAATCACATGTAGACCCCTTGGGTTTTCTTGGGGTTGAGTAGGAAATTTCCCTTTTCTTTGTGGGATAACCCCACAGCATTGATTAACTTAGCTATGTCCGAATGTCATTACGAATGGCAGAATTTTGATTGTTGATTTTGGTTTAACTCTAAATGAATTGGTGCCCGACATCCTCCAAATTTATCTTGTGATGAGGTTAGTATGTGAGCGGATTAGGTGGTCCTTGTTAACCAAACCCTTTTTCAGGTGGGTTCTGTGAAAACCCTTATGGAATAGACCATGGGTATTGGGAGCTAAATGACGAACTATGACCATAATATGATTATTTTTTCTTGGGTGGAATGAGAGTTGACAATGAGGTGGACCCATGAGAAATAGGGTTTTCATTCTTCCAACTAAAGTTCGGGTGGGAGCTCCATCCTATGTTATATGTGTTAAAGTGTGGAGAGTATGACTGTCTACTTTGGTTAAATGCATTCACTTGCTCATGGTATACTTATTTGACTGCCAAAATGTTTGGGTACTCCGAAATAGAATGCTCAACACTCTCACATATTAAGCAAGATTTGTGACACCCCAAAATCCGGGGGTCCGTTGATTACTCATCAATCTGCGGAATGCCAGTGGATACTAAGTAACTCGATATCTCAACGTTATGCCCCATTTACTGGGGTCCATCATTTATTAAAAATTTGGGCAGAGTCTCCTTTGTAAGGAGAACTCTACTCAAAACACAACATGTGCATTATATAATAACAAGACCCATCCGAGGTCCTATATTCAACAATGACCACACCGGGTCCATTTATAAGTAAACATTGGCCACACCGGGTCTAATTATTCATATTCATACAAACATGCAAGATTATGTTAAAACAGTCGATATAGATTCTATCACAATTCCTTTACACATTACATGCCAAAATTTAATTACAAGTCTAATTTTACAAAAGAAATGGATTGAAAGCCACAAGTCGCCTTTTCTTCCTCCTTAAGTGCCCAATTAAGTGCTGCCCCTCAGCGTATGACCCGTACCTGAAATATTTCCCGTATAGGATGAGCCAACGCCCAGTAGAGAAAAACTCCTACTAGGGCTACTCCCCACCTTAAATTCATATGCAATGTGTATAAGCAACATTTAACATTTAACAACCATTCATACAAGAATATGTATTCAATGTTGAAATGCAACCATGTCATGCCATGAAATAAGATGATACTCACTCATGCACTTAAACCCAAGTCCTCACTGACTTCCACAACACAATGCAATGCCAATGTTTAATGACCCGTCTTCGACGAAAATACATCCAATGATCGCTTTGAATAAAAAAAATCATGCATTTTATAAATCAGATCATTATTGGATGGTACTCATTAAATGAGTATTTTCTTATAAATCAAAATCTTGTGTCTTGTTGGGCAACGGATTTTGGATTTTATACCGCCAGTTCCGTATACCATACTACACTTTTCTGGAATTTCACCACAGGGGAGTGTATAACCAAGTCGTCGGGTCTTGCACCCGAGGGAGAGTCTAGCCCTACTTGTTATACCTGACACAAGTTTTCTTCCATGCAACCATGCGACTCCAAGGGGATCTTCGATCCACTTTTTCCCGAACCCACATACCAACCACCAAACAAGTTGTTTGATCAACCATGCATCTCACACACCCATACTCATGACTTATGCCCATGAATGTGATGCCTCTATGCACAATGATACAATGTCCAATATGCTATGAATGACATATGAACAATCTAAACATATCATGATAAGTCATGTTCTAAGCATATAGATACCATATTTGTCACAAATTCAATATATCATAACATGCATATACCAACAATTGCATTTCCAATCAGAAATCATGTTATAAGTCCATAATTTCACTTTCATAATCATAGGCAAGTGATATCACAACTTTTAGGCTAATAACACACCTAATCATTAAGGCATAATATAACACATAACGGCCCATGTAAACCACCATATAACAGCCCGTATATAACCCACAAAATAGACTAAAAACAGTGCGCACAAAATAGTCACAATTTCAGTCCATAACATGGCCTAAAAACAGTCCATAATTCAGCCCCTTAACAGTCCCTAATTAGTGCACAAAACAGCCCCTAATTAGTGCACAA